GGGCTTTGGGGGGGAGATTAGGTCATGAAGGCTTTGCCCTCATGAATGGAATTAGTGCTCTTAAAAAAGAGACTCCCTTGCCCCCTCTGCCACATGAGAACACAGCAAAATGACAGCAGCCTATGAACCAGGAAGTGGGCCTTCACCAGACGCTGAATATGTGGATGCCTTGACCTTGGACTTCTCAGCCACCAGAAGTACAAAATAAATTTCTGTTGTTTTCAAGCCACCCAGGCTATGGTATTCTGTTTTAACAAATCTAACCAACTAAGATGAATCCGAGTTAGAGACCACCTAAGGAGGTAACAAGTGAGTTAGATAGAATGATCAACAGAAAGAGATTAGAATAAGAGATGACCATGATTATATAGGCCTCCTCAATTCAAAGAAATCTTTGAGAGAACAAATGGCAAAGTCTATAGAATATGAATACAAATGAAGTTAGAGCAATTTTTATTTAAGTATTAAAAGACAATACTACTTGGTAATATCATGACCAATTATCAAAAAATTACACTCTTAGCTAGTGACCACAAGATAATCAAGTTGTAACCATACCATATTAAATGAAATAATTCCAAATGCATTGTCATTTGATAATATTGTCACAGTAACAGTCCGTGGCCATCCAAGCTTCACATTTGCTGAAGGTTTCTAAAAAAAGACCCCAAAATAAATTAATAATTTAAAAATAAGAGGAAAAAAATAATCATTTTAACAAAATTTATCTTTAATTATTAAGAATGTGAATAAAAATACAAGAATACTTTTAATGCAGAGATTAAATACATTTAAACTCAGTCAACATGGCAAAAGATTCCCAGCAAGAATTCTTGAAAAAAGATTTGGAAATAATCACTGACTATCTACACTAATAAAAGACAAAGATGCAAATTGACCATACCTTCACTATGCCCATCAGCCAATCAGAAGAGAATGCAAATTAACCCAACAAAGATGGCCATTAAATTTGCATACGGCAGGCGGGGCAGCACAGTGCAATCTACCCACCCTGCCGTCTGCCGGGCCTGCCATCCATGTGCGTGGCGGCGCTACAGAGGGCCTGCCATCTGCAACCCAGCACGGGATCCGGGCCTGCCATCTGCCACTCGGGGAGCAGTCCTAAGCCAGCAAGTAGTTATCTCCAGAGGGGTCCCAGGCTGTGGAGGGCACAGGAGGGCACCACCCCTGCCAGTGCACAAATTTTTGTGCACCGGGCCTCTAGTTAAAATATAAATCATTACAATTATAAGTAATCAATGGCTAGTATTATATGTATTATAATTACTCTAATGTCATTACTGATGTGACAAAGAATAAAGTAAGCAGTATGAAATTCTATTCAAACATAATTCTTTTTCTTATACTTTAGAATGTGCTAAAATTTAATAATTAGTTATTCCACAAATCATAGAGTCAAATTAAAAATAAAATATTAAGCCCTAGCTAATATAGCTCAGTGGACAGAGAGTCAGCCTGCAGACTGAAGGGTCCTGGGTTTGATTCTGGATAAAAATATATTTTAAAAAATAATAATAAAATATTAAAACAACTTTTCTAATAAATGTAAGAAGACTTGTCTGCAACGTTACTCGTTATTCAACAACAGCATACAGGAATATTAAAAAAAAAAAAAAAAGAGTGTACAGCCCTAACTGGTTTGGCTCAGAGGATAGAGCGTCAGCCTGCGGACTGAAAGGTCCCAGGTTCGATTCCAGTCAAGGGCATGTACTTTGGTTGCGGGCACATCCCCAGTGGGGAGTGTGCAGGAGGCAGCTGATCGATGTTTCTCTCTCATTGATGTTTCTGACTCTCTCTCCCTCTCCCTTTCTCTCTGTAAAAAAAATCAATAAAATATTTTTTTTAAAAAAGAGTGTACAAAGCAAAACATGTGTGTTTCAAGTATCATTTTCATGAAAAGTTGATTATACTAATAATAAAAAATTCTCAATGCCCTTTAGAAAATTTAACTACAGCATTGTTATTAGTCATTGCCTCAACCTAACAGATTAACCCACAAAGGACAATTAAACCTTAACCTATTCAAGCATTTTTCCCAGAGATACTCTGAATTTATTCAAATGCATTGGGACCTCCCACTTCCATGCCTGCCTTTTTGTATCCTTCTCCTTTGAATTCAGAAGTCACGGTCATTTTTTGTGCATCTGGTAGCAGGGAAAGGACAAAAGAGAAAAGGGTCAAATGAAAGACAAGGTTTTCTTGAGCATCTGCCATGGGAATTCCTAAATAAGCTGAATGGATCCAAAAACTAGCTGTAGGATCTTCTAGAGAAGACTCTGAGGAATAACCAGACCGTGGAATTGCTAAAGAGGTTTTCAGTTCTGGCTTCTAGGAGAACCACCACTTACCAGCTAAATGGGCTTATCTCTAGAGAAATAGACTTGTAAGCATTACAAGATTTTTATGAGTTTAAGTTTTGGGTGGGGAGGATTTACCTGTAATGTTAAGTGAAAAACAAAAGTCTCATCGGGCTCTGGTATGTCATCATCGCATACTGCTATGTACACTGTCCTATTTGTCTCTCCCGCAGGTATAAATGCTGCAGCGTAGGTGTCAAAAAAGTCCCCGGTGTCTTCGCCGTACAGCTAGCAAATGTGAAATAGACAACTCTTACACAGCGCAGGGTTAGGGCAAGGGGACCTGACACCAACTGGAGCCATCAACAGGGAAAGCATGAATCCTCAGGTGACACTATGTTTTTTGTTCTGTTTTGTCTTTATTGTCTGAAGTTTTACATATGTCTCCTTTTTCCCTGGTTGGCCATTCCCACCCCAGGCAAGCCCCCACCGTCCCAGTGAAATGACACTGTATTTACAGATAAGATGTACAAAGGCAAATATTTAACAACCAATAATCATCTTCAAAAGACATTATAGCCGAAACCGGTTTGGCTCAGTGGATAGAGCGTCAGCCTGCGGACTGAAAGGTCACAGGTTCGATCCCGGTCAAGGGTATGTACCTGGGTTGCGGGCACAACCCCAGTAGGAGATGTGCAGGAGGCAGCTGATCGATGTTTCTCTCTCATCGATGTTTCTAGCTCTCTATCCCTCTCCCTTCCTCTCTGTAAAAAATCAATAAAATATATTTTTAAAAAAGACATTATAAAAAGAAACGATGCTGCACAAAAACATTTGCTTACGCTCTGGAACGTAAAGAAATCACTACATAGAAAAGTAATAACTATAAAGGAAAGTATGATGTGAATGTTTTTTCTCTGCCTTTTGATTGATCTGAAGTGAATTACAGCAAACCTAACAAGACAAACTGCAGCTAAAACTCTCCCAAACTAAGGGTTGAAAGTAGCCTGGCAAAATATATTAGAAAAATTAATTCTTTTCCCTATAATTTTCAAAGAAACTGCTCTTTCCAAAAATTTCAAAATGAAATTTTATTTATATTCTCCCACAGCTCCAACAAAGACACGATGCTTTTAGCATTCCAAACATACTAGTCATTATAAACTTTTCCTTAACTTTTTAAGACCTCATTCTATGTCAGCATTGCTAATAAGATTCTCAAGGGAACAATAATTGTGAAATTATAAAGCAGCAGCTTCTTGTGCAAATCTAAATGAGATTTCTTTTATTAATAACTCAAAATGAATAACTTAGTTACTAGAAAATAAACTATGATTTAATAGAAATAAAAAGTAAAGGACATGTATAGGCAAATTTTAGTCTAGCTCTAATTTTCATTTATAATAAATTATGTTTTAAACACTTGATCCAAGTAAGTTCCCAAGGGCCGGGGAAAAGTTGTTCTCATAATTTAATATACAAAGTGGCACAGTCATTTAGGAAATAATAAATATCAAGAGTCACTGAAACAAAGGGGAAAAACACAGTAATCCAACCAAAAAACTTATTTAACAATCCAAAAATCTGCCCAGCCGGTGTGGCTCAGTGGTTGAGCATCAACCCTTGAACCAGGAGGTCATGGGTTCGATCCTAGTCAGGGCACATGCCTGGGTTGCAGCGGGCTTGATCCCCAAAGGAGGGTGTGCAGAAGGCAGCTGATCAATGATTCTCTCTCATCATTGATGTTTCTATCTCTCTTTCTCCCTCTCCCCCCTTCCTCTCTGAAATCAATAAAAAATATATTTTAAAAAATCAATATGTATATAAATAGTTTCATTAAAGCAACATTTCTAAGAACACAAATTGACAACAACCTCAATGAAAAATAGTTGAGGAATGATTGGGAAATGATGACACCACTATCAAGAAAAGCTGAGAATAGACCAACTTGAAAAATGTATTATAATACAAGCAAAATTATATGTACAAGATTATCAAGTATAGTATATACTCAAAAATAATAAACTCAATAACTATATACATATATGTAATAAATTAAAAACTAGAAGCAATGCACAAAAGTGTAATATTAGATTTGCTGCATATGTAGTTTTTCTCTTTGTCTCTCTTCACATTATTTCAGAATGTGATCATATAACCTACTGCTTAAAAACTTCTTTCGGAAAACAAAAATCTCAAGCATTTTGAGCCTCAAATATAATAATATCCTTAGAGGTCATATCCTTAGAGGCAGTACTTTTTGGTTAAACATAAACACAACATGCACACTCAATTCATCCAATAATCAAACTGTGTGTAAGGGTTTAACAAATTCTACCTAATTTCAATGAAAGCTGATCTACCTAATTTCTCCTAATAGAGAGAGAGAGCTGTGAAATAACTAAGGATTTTTTAATTGCTTTTTTCTACTTGTAAATATTTTATATATTTACTAAAGCCACCTGACAATAGATAATATTTCTAAGCAGAGACAACTAGAATCCAAATTACCCAAAATAAAATATTCTTTTACTTAGAAATACTTATTGATATTTTTATTTTATTTGTTTTAAAATAAACATGAACATTTTAAAATAATCAGTCTATGTATTTTTTTTCAGTCTGTATCTTTAAAATACTATTATTAACAAACACACACGCCACCTTGGAGCACTCTATAAACCTGTATAAATGGAACAGTGTATATGCAAATCATTTATCATGATCAAACGACTCAGAATCTCAAACAGTTAAAAAAAATTCTTGCCATGGAAACTGAGGAATTTAATATATATTTCAGTAAGAATAGAACTACCATCGTTTCTTACCGACACAATTGCTGTGACATTTGCTGGCTCTCCTATCCTTTCGATGACAAGACGAATAACTGTTGTACTTGTTTCATTAACTACAAATTCCGTTTGTCCAGCAAACCTTATTTCTGTTTCTCCAAACACAAAAGGGATGAAGAAAGCTGAAAGAAGATTTACGAATAAAGATGTAGAGGGCATCCCTATGGGAGAAAAAAATTTGTTCACAAAACGTGTCTAATACATTTTCATTTGACTGTGTTGTCTACAAATAGAAACAGAGTGAACAGAACAAATAGAACAGAGTTACATAGTAAGCAACCACGACATAAATACAGCAAATATTAAGCCATCCAATTCAAATATGTGATCACAGAAATAAATTAAAAATCACAAACTCTTCTGTGGTTCCTTTTACTATTCATAACTATGTCTTATTCTTTATCTTATATATCAAGATAATTATAACTAACCTTAAACTTATCAAATTTAGTTTATTAAAAAAATGACCCTCCAGCCCTAACCAGTTTGGCTCAGTGGATAGAGCATTGGCCTTCAGACTCAAGGGTCCCAGGTTCGATTCCGGTCAACGGCATGTACCTTGGTTGCAGGCACATACCCAGTAGGGAATGTGCAGAAGGCAGATGATAGATGTTTCTCTCTCATCAATGTTTCTAACTCTCTATCCCTCTCCCTTCCTCTCTGTAAAAAATCAATAAAATATATATTTTTTTTAAAAATGACCCTCCAGCTCTAGCCGGTTTGACTCAGTTGATAAGAGCACTGACCTGCAGACTGAAGAATCCCAGGTTTTATTCCCAGTCAAGGACACATAGCTCAGTTACAGGCTCCATCCCGGCCCTGGTCAGAGCTCAAGTGCGAGGCAACCAATTGATGTGTCTGTCTCTCTCACATCGATGTTTCTCTCTCTGTCTCTTCACCTCCCCTCCACTCTCTCTAAAAATTAATTGGAAAATATCCTCAGGGGAAGATTAACAACAACAAAAATGACCCTCCATATTTATTCCAAGAAAAACATAAATAGCAACATGAAAGCTTAATTAAAGCCCATCTTCCCCCTAAATGAAACTAAAATACAAGCAAAAACCAAAAAATTACTGAATGGATAAATAATCCTAATGGGACTTACTCATCTATTTATTTGATCAAACAAATATAAGAGAACTCTTGAAACAGGTATACAAAGCAGTTTAAACTAAAAAATCTACAAATAAATTGATTTCTTTGTTGTATCTACGTTTTCCTTAAATTTGTCTTATTTGAGACTGCTTTCTAAAAGTTTTGTTACTGCAAGTAAATGCTATAACAGAAAACTCAAATTTCTCCCATTTTACCAACTAAAATACTAACACAACTTCCATGTTGCTTTAAGAACAAGCAAATTTGGCAAAGTGTGCATTTCCATAACTTCTACTATTTTCTTTTTACTACAATGTGCATGTCTGTGAGTCATCAATATTATTCCCACTTTCAGCACTGTGTGGCTCAAGTGCTTTCAAAAGCACAACAGAGCAGTGACCTCTTGAAAAGCACCGCTGTTTTGTAATGTAGATGTACCTCTAAAATGTGAACAATTTATCTCACGGATCATTAAGATTCCAATGGATTATGTGATTAGTCACACGAACATAACAAGTTCATGCATTTTAAAGGGAGTTGTATTATGAACTCTATAAGCCAAAAATGCTTCCTATTAATCTTTTTTAAAATTTAAGTTCTTTATTGTTTAAAGTATTACATGAGTCTCCTTTTTCCCCTATTGACCTCTCCCCAGCCTCTTCCACGCCCAGTACATGCCCTCCCCCCCTACTGCCTGTGTCCATTGGTTATGCTCATATGCAACTTCCTATTACTCTTTACCTTACTCAAGAAATAATTAAATTTTCATGCATGTGGTTATTCCCACGTGGCAATACATGGCTTTATATTTAGGAACCACGAAATAAGTAAGTTTTTGACATATGTTAAGGTTTAAATGAAATTTTCTCAGTCAAGTATATTCAAACATTGCAGTCTGAGATTGCTTAATGTCTCACATGTTTATGGCAGCAAAATCCACAGACAGGGATGCAGGGCTCAGATGGAGTCCAAAAAAGAGACATAGGCCAGAGGTTCTGGAGGACTAGGGCACCTTTTACTAGTACACTGTGCCTTCTTTCTAAGAAAGCCTGCCATGGGCGAAGGGACTGGGAAGAAATAAAATAGGTCTCCCTTACCAGCTGCAAACTCCTCCTTGACTTCTAAGCCAGGAAGGTTTACAGAAAGAAAGGAAATGAAAAATACGAGAGACAGGAAAAGGCAAAACCTGGGTGAGACAGGCAATTGGGAACAGGTCCAAAGACACCTGAAGAAGATTTTTTGAGGAATTCTAGGGCCAGAATGGTTTCACACCTCACTTATGACAAACCGTGGAAAAGAAATGAACTAGAAGGATCAACTTTGGTCCGTTGTGATTTTTTGAAAGAAAAATCTCAATCCCTTGAACATGAGATGTGATAGAACCTTGAGCTGAGAGAAAGAAGACACCTGAAAAAGTTCTAAGTGAGAAACAGTGCAAGTGAAAAGGGGAAATCATGACTAACTGGGAATATAAATTCTCAAAATTTGTCCTGCATAAGAATCAATTTAGACCTTTGTCAACATTCTTATTCTCACACCCAGAAACTCAGATCCAGTGAATTTAAGGTGGGGCCCAGGAATCTCCACTGAACAGGCAATCTGGTTGATTCTAATACAACTGATCCTTGGGATACACATTGAAATACACTGTCCCAGCATGTGAGGAAGAGTGTAGCTTTAAGTTAACTACTGAATTTTTCAATGCAATATGCTTGAACTTCCTGTAGGCTTCCTCATATATTTTTCTACATATTATTATATTGCATTTTAAGATTCCATATATCCTATAGAAAACTTATAATGACCTACAGATTGTAATCAGAACAGCAAATGCTTATATAGTATTGTCCTAGGTACTTTAACACTTACACAATAACACATTTAAACTCTGTGAAAAAAAGTACTAAAATTAATCCCATTTATAGATGAAGAAACTAAGAAAACAGATGAACGCATACAGTCTTATTTCGTTAAGTAAGCGGCTAGGCAGGATTTGAATCCAGGAGTCCACCTTTCGACTCTACCCCATAACCACACTATATTGCCTGTTACATTTTATTCATACAAATCATACATATCCCTTGAATAATATAGGTTATTTATGCTATCCATTTCAAAGAATTGAAATATTTTAAACTCATGCACAATAATCAAAACTACCATAAAACTGCATAATTATGAGTCTCCTAAAGGTTTGCACCTTATTATTCTGATCAACGTTACAATTATTTAACTGAAGCTAGTTCTCTTGACTACTTTAAATATTTAACAGCATCTGTTAATGTCAGGACCAATGAGTTCAAATGGTGTATTCTTGCAGTTTCCCAAGCAATTAGAGCTCTGAGATCTTGTGGTTAAGTCAGTAAATTCATTTTAAATTGGTGTACATTAGTGAGTTCTGGGACTATACAAAATGAACAGACAAGCGGATTGGAAAAGCCTCAACTTCAGAGACATCACTGATAATTGAATCTCCTCTGCTTTCATGCTTTCAACTTTAAGAAACGTTGCTGAGGCAAAGTTGGCACTCAATGGAAATTAAAAGATGAAGAAAAAGCTTTGAAGGTGAAGTTCCCACTGGAAAACAGGCATAATTATATAAATGCCAAACAGTTTCTCTTTTGGAATAACTAGGTACATTTTCCTCTATCATACTAAAAATGTAGTATTTGGAACTCTATTAAATTCAGAAGACTAGGTATTAGTAACTGACATAACACTTAAATCTTATATCTGTTTCAGGTCACTTTTTCTCATTAGATTTAATAAAAGTTTTGCATCATCCATCAGACCACCTATTTTAAACCTCTATAAAATAAATTTCAAACTATATTTAAAAATTATAATATGCTTATTTCATATTCTGTCACAACGGTCAAAGAGTAATTTTAGCAGTAATGTGTCATTCTTCTGCTCTGTAATGCATGATATTCCAGTACTCGAGCCCTCTCACTCCAACTAGCATCCATGTAATCCTCAAACCTCCCCCTCCTGCTCAGTATGATTGAAAGGAAATAAAAAGTGTTCCTGATCATAGATCTCTTATGGTGTTCAAGCAATATGAGATCTAGGTTACTTTCTTACTTCTTACTTCCTGAATTATACCATGAAATTCTGACAGAGTCCTGATAGCATGTAGGCACAAAGTCTTAGGTTCTCAGATTCTAGTAAACATATTCAGCCTGCCCAACAAGTTACCATTCTGGGGGGGGGGGGGGGGATAAAATTAGGAATATATTAGAATAGCTCCTACAATACAAATTGCTTGCTTTCAGAAGAGCAGCTTACATTTTAGCATAATATCTGTACACTTAGCACCTACTCTACATTGTGCAACACCATGTGCTAATCTTCAAGGACACAAAGGCCCGTAAGACATGGTCCTTGGCTCCAACATATCCACAGGGATGGACCAATCAAAGTCAACAAGACATAATTCTGAGACTTTTGCTTAAACATCAGAATGCAGAATCCCTGTACCACTGGGTTCAGGAGAGTGGTGATTACGGCCAGTTTCCTCCAAAATCTGGAAATGAAGCCAATGCAGCCATAGAGAGTTAAGAGGCAGAGAGAAGTCAAGTCTTCATAATCAAGTTTAGGTTCCTGAGTCCAGCCTTACACTGGCCTTTCAGTTACTGAGAAAATAAATTGCATTTTTTCTATAGTCAGTTTGGGTTGCATTTGCAACATCAATATTTATCCACTCATCTCCAATCTGTGACATAGTGAACTCGTGTTAGGATATACCAAGTGGAAGATTCCTCCTCCTCCATTCTGACATCCAACAGTCTTACTCTCTTCTAAATATTTGTGAAAGGATACCTCACTAGCTAACTCTCTTTCCCATTCTCATGCAACTATTACCATCTGTAATATTTTCCCCTCCACCTTGAAACTGACAATGACTAGTAAGGAAGTTTAGGACATGTAGGCAAACAAAAGATATCTTCACAATAGAACAAAGCAGGACAGGAGTGTGCTGCATTAACTCAGTGTTGATGAGTGAATGCCCTGCTGATTGTCACAAGGAGCCCTAATGTCAGGCTTCTTTAAATTTGTCTGG